AGTCACTCGCTTGTTTAATTATTTTGCGATCTAGATTTCTTCTTCTTTTTTGAAGTGAGAAGTTCTCCGTCAGTCGGATGGACGGACTGACAGACTCCCCCCAACCCCCATCACTGCAGCATATTCACAGCGACTACAGTTTACATAACATTTACAGGTTCCAACAGTTATCTGATTGGATAGCATCTATCCTTGCTTTAAAAACATTTAGTGGAACCAAATTGCTCAACTTCCATTCCTTTTGCAGACTGTTCCAAATTAGCGGAGCTGCGCATCTAAAAGCTGTATTCCCTAAGACAGTCCTAGCAGTTGGCCAATTTAATAAAACCACAGCATTCAATCTCAGGCAGTAGCCATTTACAATACGCCGTGAGATCAGGGAGCAGATGTAGGATGGAAGTTTCCCTAACATTGCTTTGTAAATTTGTGTTTCTATCAGAACATGTTGACATGCTTTAACCTTCAAAAAACGAAATATATAATTCAGACCGTCTGTAAAAATGTACTGGTATTTGTTCTCTTTGAGCCCATCCCAGAAAAGCTCAGTCTGCTGTGATTGGTCAGTGTTTCTGGTCTCTTGTATCTGCCCTTTGTTCATCCCCGCACCATCAGTGCAGCCTGGGAATCACTGTCATGCCCTGTCAGCACGTTCTACCTATATATAGTGTATAATTGTGATATCACTATCATTTGGAAAATAAGATGGCTGGATAAAGCATCATCCGTCTCACACACTCTGACTGATTACCCGTAACTTTATTTCCTTTAGTAGCTTGAAAAGGTCAAGCCAAAAAGAGTCAGCCTTATGTCGTCAATTTATTTGAACACAGTTGCAAGCTGTAACTGTACTGAACCTGTTCTTCATGGCTTTGTATTCGTAGGTTTCCTGATCTACTTCTCGTACGGCATTCATCACAGCATTGAAGGAAAATTGTCCCGCTTGTCTCCAGGCACCGAGATGAACGGTTTCAAAGGCAACAATGATCCACAGGCCAGGTCCCATGAAAAAGAGGCCTTCCTGAACAGTGGTATTGATGGCGAGGAAGAGGACGATGGAGATTTGTAGGAAAGCATTTGAACATGCTGTTTAGATTTCAACCCCCCCCCAACGCAAGTCTGTCTGCATAAGAGTCTTTTTGACTAGACGACTCCCTGTCATTACTTCCTTTTTGTGAAAGCAATGAGGAATAACATTGACCTAAAATTCACACACCTGTGACCTTCGCCGAGACTACTGGATAAAGATTCAGGAAACTGCCACCTTGACGCTCCTTAAGCCATATTTGACATGTATTATGTGGTATTTTTGAATAGGCGTGTTACCCTTTTTGCATGGCCTTGAGCTTTAACTGGTGGTTATAGCTTGGCTGTTTGAGGGGGGAGGGCTCATGTTGGATGAGGAACATTTTAGTGTCTCATGGAGCTATAAGATCGGGCTTACATTGTTGGCAGGAGGACGATGTGATGCAGCTTTCATATGGGTGCCAGAAAGTTGAACAGTAATACACATTTTGCTTTTCTTTCTTATATAATAATTATTCTACCATCTGCATCATTCACAGTCAGTATTAAATACAGCTTGGTACCAAATGCTATATTTTCAAAAACCTGATAGCTCTCTTTCAATGTTACTGACTGTTGAACCGCTGCTCTTCCAGCCGTCTCTGACAACAAAAGAAAGCTTGCAAAATACACTGCAACATATTTGTCAATGATGTTATTACCCCTGTCCAACAGAAACAAAGGGTGGTCTGGCATTTGGCTGCACAAACAGTTGAAGTGATCCAGCAGGAAAATGAAGCTTACAGTTTCCAAAAGTCCAATTTTAGGTCAGAAGGATTGCATTGAGGCCGTCTGAGGTCCCAGGCTTTAACTTGCAAATAGGGGAAGGTCGGCGTTTGGGGCTGGGCAATATGGCCGAAGTCTTCTGTCATGATAAAGGTAATTAAATATCTATATCTCTTTATTTCACGATGTAGCATGTTTTCCGGCCTATTGTTTTATGCTCCTTTGTAAATGTTATAGTAAGAGCTGTTATTTTCGATTTAGACTGATTCACTGTGTATCACAATATTTCAATATAAATTATTTGATCACTTTACGCTTCCTTTGAAAGAGGGTAAATGATCTTATTGAGTTAATTCCCAGCCCTATCCTACTGTGGTACTACAATATGGATCAAATCCAGGCATTTGCAAGAAACAAGCAACATCAATAATATGCCATGGATCTGCAAATAATGACGCAGAAAAGGCTGTACAAGACATCCTGTTGGACGGTTCCTTATTGTGAGACAAGTAATTCCATCCAAACCCCCACAGGATCATGGGACTACAAATCGTGTACCTGCTATCTGATTAAACACCATCAAGATAATAATGACAGTTGTTAGAATATGCTCTCTCATTTGGGATATTCAATACCCTTGTAAATGAATGGAATCCTGATACATGTTCAGCATCAGGTGAAGACATTGACAGTTGCTGAATGTCAGTTCATGTAATGTGACATTAGATAAAAGTGTATATTCACAGTGCTGGCTGCTGTGTAACTTTGCATCTGTAGCTTGTAACATTAAACTTCTCTTTTCAAAAATGTTCAATTTGGAAGTATTTGTTCTCTGATTTCACGCCTTTTCTGATGTTTATGAATGTCTTTTTATTCCCAGCGGTCATTTTCATTGTGCTTTTCAGATCACAAATCTGTTTCACCTTGATAGGAATACTTTGATCAGGTACTTTCTACACTTGTACATTTATCAACATACACTTTTTGTTAGCAATCATGTTTTTCTCTTTATAGACATACTCGATTAATCCATAGATTTATCAAGGCTCTCTCATGCCTACATTTCCCACAATGCAATTCAACTTCCAACAGTTCAGTTGTAGTTTGTCTTGCTAAGTGTCTAACATACCCTCGAGCTTCTAGCTTCTGGCTTCAAACAGTGATGAGCAGCTAGCTTCAAATTCTTGTACTGTAAACTCACTTTATGTGACTCCATGTCGCCCCAATTTAATTTAATTTGTTTTTATTTCCAACTTGTAGTCTTCAGACCTAGGGCCTGAAGTGACATCACATCTATCAGACTGTGTGCACTTTTAGTTTGAACCTTTAGGTGAATATATTGGGGTTCTGGGGGTCCTTTACTACAAATTAGCTGTCTGTCCATAAAGAAACATGTACAACCAAGTTTATATTTGATATTGTTTATATTTCTCGCAGTAAATTATTTGTAAATTAGAAGAGGTTTATAATCTGTTTTGCCCTATCTGTATCTGACATTGTTTTGCTTATATTGTGTTCACAAGGTCAGTGCAACTGGAACCTTGTTTCCTCAGGGTCTGTCTTCACCTTCCTTTGTCCTCACTTTATCCATTGGTGCCTTTATAGCAAAAGAGTGATGAGACTATACATACAGTATGGCATATTAGCATGATGTGGCAGAATGCATTTATTTGGGGTTATAGTGAGCTGCCATATCTTTACTTTTAACAGTAGGACCTTTTCTGAATGAAAATATACTGAATTGAGCATTTGTTTTGGTAATATTTATTTATTTACTTGCTTCTTCATTTACCATATTATTTTCTTCAAATAAATCTTTCCGCACATAATAACAAAGCCTCTGATTTAAGTTTCAACTTAAATTTGCCTTGTTAGGTGTACATATACAAATGGATGTGAATATGAAGGAAGTACTTTCTTCATTTACATAACGTCAAACTTCAGTTTTAATGTTAATATAAAGTCAGATGTGAAAAAAAAAAAGTAGGAGCTTATTTATTTCTCCTATGATGCTGCTTTAAACCCCAACTGACCTATAGCTCCCTTTTACATAACGTGTGTCACATAATGGGGCTGTGCAATAGCTGCCCACTGCTCCTAGTACTAGACTCCTGGTACTAGGATGGGTTAAAAGCAGAGAACACATTTCACTGTGTGCTCTGCATGTGTGACCATTAAAGAGGGTTTCATCCCTCCCAATATTATTATCATTATTATTATTGATGTTTCAAATCCAAATGTTGATGACTGCTTGCTTTATCTTTTACTATAATTTCATCAGTTTCCAAGACTTTTTTTCTTGGTTGTTAAAAGCTTTTTGTGGCTTTATAACCGTACATGTTAAAAACCCAATATACTTATTTTCAATTTTTACCAATGTCAACATGTTGGCTTAATAGTAGGCATTTACTCATATAGTAAATACACATTATTTTAGCTTGTGTCCACTCTTTGTTTCCCTTTTTTTTTCTTTGTTTGCTTCATGCCTTACTGTAAATAAATCAAGCTTTTCAACCTACCTTTGGTGGCTTTTTGTTCTGAAATCCAGGAACAGACTTTTCACAATAGGCTACTTCTCACATGATCCAGCAGAGAGCGCAAATGTGTTGACAGACAGACAGAGAGACAGAGGAGCAGAAGGATGCTCTGCCAGGTGTCGGCTGCAGCATCAGCACCGCTCCTCCTCCTCTTCCTCCTGTCCGCAAGATCTCTCTCTCTCTCTCTCCTTGCACTGCGAGTCAGAAAGAGAGATAGAGAGAGAGTGGACACACACGCGTTGTGTTTCGTTTTGCTACTCTACTGCATATGACCTGCATTCTTGGATGATTCAACACCAGAGAAACCTGAAGGTAAGTCGCACAACTGAAAACACTGCGGGTTGGTTGTATTTGATTCTTCGAAGTCCCGCATCGGTCTCTTTAAGAAGTGTCGCAGGTACTTTGATTGTATGATTCGGGTCTTGGTGTTGACTCGGTTCGCTATACGCATGTTTACATACATACGAATCTGATGCATTGATTTTGAGCACGCACAATGCCGTGCAGCTTGTAGGGGGAGTTGTGTTTCTGCAGAAAAACAAACAGAAAGACCGTAATATTGAAGTTGAGCCGCAGATCGCAGTGTAAGTGGAGCAGTAGAGCAGAGCATATTATGGCTGGAGAGAGAGTGAGGTCAGACAGGGAAGAGCTGCTGTGATGCAGCAGGTCAAGTCTCTGCGGGTGAAGCTAATGATCACACGTAGATTATCCAGGCTTTAGACCTAACCTGACCATGATCCACTGTACTGAGACAAACTAAATAATTTACAATGTACATTTTTTTTCATTTCTTATTATTATTATTATTATTATTAATGTGTTAGTTATTTGTGGTCACCAATTTGTATTTTAATTTCCAGCATCAAGACAAACAAATCTTAAATGGTGACATGAAGGGTTGCCAATTGTTTTATAGCTGTATTGAAGTGCTGTTATGCTGACATAGCCATTTAATGGAAGTGTTTTTTAAAGAGCAGTGTAAAGAATGAGGAAAAGGCTCTCTCTAACTCATCAAGGACATTTTTTGCACAGATATTGGTTTTATTTTGTCAAATTCCTCCATTCTTAATCTTCCCGTTTCCTCACTTCACCTTATTATTCCACATTTCTCTTCGCATAACTCATGTGCAAAGCCGAATGCAACTGAAATGCACAGTATGTGTATGTGCTTTAGCTACTTTATTAACAATACTCATGTCATCAGCCTCACCTTTAGGCTACTTAGAGGCAGGGGAGGATAGAAAGACAGAAAGGGGTGGATCAAGTTAAGGTGAGCTAAATGAAGGCAGCATGTCTTCCACACTCAGCTGTCTCCAGTTCTGAGTGATTGGTGTCTGATGATCAGGTTGTCCTTGAAACTGTGTGTGTGTGTGTGTGTGTGTGTGTGTGTGTGTGTGTGTGTGTGTGGGGGGGGGGGGCAGTTTTCCTGTATTTGTTAGTGTGCATCACATATCTTCACTTACTGAAATTAAACTTGTTTAGTTGATTAACTTTGCACAAGTTCACATAATTTAGCACTTGGCTTGGCTGCCCAGACATGTGGTTGATGGACCCTGTGCATAAAATGTGTTTTATAAGTGGTTTTTTTGTGTTTATTGGAATTGTCTGCTGCCAATATCGATCCGGGTATCACAGACTTCCCACGTCTACGGATCATCCAGTCCATCTTGCTAAATCTTGCCATTCCCTCCCAGTCATGTTGATGCGGAGTTTGACGCTGCATCAAAGTAGGGCAGCAGAGCCTGTGGCCTCGGCTGTAGCTGCTGTTCTAGATGCTGATGCATGTGTGATTGGTTCATTACGTCTGACCTCTGCAGAGTCTGAACGGCGATCAATTCAGCAAATCTCTGCCAGGAAAACCACTCGCAGTAGTGTGTATATGAGTGTGTGTGCGTGTTTCGTTGTAGTTCTCGGGCTCAGGTGCTTATGTATGTGCGAGTGTTCCTGCAGGTGAGACCATTTGTCACAAACCCCATGAGTGTAGCCTCAAGGTCATTTTATAGGACAAAACGGAGGAGAGGAAGGATGAGGGAGGGAGAAAACTGAGAGGATAAGTGAAGGAGAAACAGGAGGAAAGTATGTAGCCTCTCTAATGTATGTGATGCGTTGTATGTATTCTTTCTCCTTTATTCATACACAAGTGGTGTGCAAATTGATTCTACAGTGGTTCCTCAAAAGACAGAATGACAGAAAGATGAGGCTGCAGTTATTCCTCTCACCTGTGTTGTGATAACTCATAATTGAAACATTTTAGAGGCATCTCTTTGCTCAGTAGAAGAATGGTGCATGTGTGTGTGTAGATCTCAACACACGTGCAAACACACACATTTTCAAATTCTCGCTGCCTTTGTCTGTGAGGTGGCAATGAGCTTGTTGTAGCTCCTCCCCTGCAGTCACAGGCAGGACATCAGAGGCTGAGCAGAGGCACGCCTCCACTGATCACACACACACACACACACACACACACACACACACACACACACACACACACACACACACACACACACACACACACAAAATACCCTTTTCACTTGTGTGTGTGTGTATACATGTGCGTCAATTTGCTGAGTTTATACACTCAGTTTAAGGGAAGTGCAAATGTATTTTGGTGTATTTAAATAACATTAAAAAAACTGTAGCAGTAAGTGCTATACTTAACTTGACTTCAGAAAAGCCACAGTCATTTATTTTTTACGATACTTTACCAGACAGTACATTCTTTTTGAAACCTCTTCCTGGTTCCCAAAGATAAACTTATCTTTCAGAGCAGCCATCCTGAGTTGCCCCGTCCTGGACTCTCTCACCTTTCTTTGTCCAATGTATGAAAACAGTCTGTTTCCTACCCACACACAGCCGCTTCAAACCCTTTCCTTATTCTTTCTTATGCACATCGTTACCACCTCAAAAACCCTCAGCTCGCTCTATTCTCCGCTCACCTCTCACTGATCCTTTGCCAGTTTTCCCTCCCCCACACCCCTGGGGTTTGCCACTTGCACATTACACATGCATACACACTCTCACACATTGCAATACAAAATAGATCCCCCTCCACCCTATATCACCTCCCCAACCCCATCTCCTGGCTCTCTGCAGCTTCATTTGTTACGCATGTTCTCCAAATAAACAGAAGTGACTCAGCCGGTCTCAGTTGCCTCTCTTTGTCTGGGCTGTCTCGTCTCCCAGCTTTATGTCTGACTGTGTACGTGTGCGTGTGTGTAAACTTCCTCACAGTCCCACAGAGAATTCTACTATTGCAGAATGTGTTTTGCTGCAA